GAAAACGATATTGTAACAAACCGTGTGCTATTTTCTCGATGAAGTTTACGAAGGGGGTGTCCCCAAGAACGTTCTTTTCAAGATTTATTGTAATATCTACCCTAGATTGCTAATAACTACCTTTGAAAAAAGAAAAAGGGGTTGTAACATTGGCGGTGAAATGTGCTTTTTTGTATTTTTTACGTTACATAATATAATAATGTAAGACTTAGAGTAAGTAGTATCCATACCACAAAAAGAGTAATATTTTAAGTATCGTAACGTAGTAAGTAACATCATAAGTGACGCAACCTAATCAGTGATATAACTAACGTATCGTCATTATAGTCTTGTAAGTAAGGTAGCCTAATTATTGGCAACGGTCTGAGTATTGTATCGCAGAATGTATTAGTATTGTATTGTCCACTTTCGAAATATTGTTTTAGAAATTAGAATTAAAAAAGAGGTGATCCAAAAAATTAAGTTCCTAGAACCCCGATCACATGAAAAGAGTACGTCCAATAAACCATCTATACATCCACGTTCCTCAAACGGGCTTGGTTGCCAGTAGCTCGTGTCAGTCCCGTGACTTTGTGCTTCGTGCATCGGAAGAAAAACATATTTTCTAACCGCATTGTGGGAAATTCCACGCCGATGGCGAGAATGAAAGCTGCTGCATACGACATGACTATCATTGCCTTAAAATAAAAAGTTTACGTTTAGCTGACCGTTCAAGCTATTTTGGACGAAATTTTGATTGCGGTTTGGTTTAAATCTTGTATGTTTTTAACCAAAATAAATGCATAAAGTGAATTGTTTTAATTCCAATTCCAATTATCTAATCGATTAAAGAAATACCTAAAGTGAATGGTATTAATATAATTCTAATTATCCCAGTAGTGGATACTAACAAACAAAATCATCGACTCACTGATTTTGTAGAAAGTCGCATCAATAATTCAACCGTATTCCACATCCCACCAATTAGTTTGAAACAGGTGGTTAAAGATCTTAAGAACATTCCTGATAATAAAGCCAAAGGACTTTATGGAATCGGAATTAAAACCTGAACTCATTTCCAGACCCTTCATATATTCTCAAATTCATTTGATTATTACTAAAGTGACTTAAACTGCGCTACCTTTCTGATGACTGGAAAACATGTGAGACACTTACTTCCATAACCCTTGTTACACGCATAGATAACCCAAGCTAGGGTCAGACCCCAAACAAAGCGACTGAAGGTGCCGTAAATCATATTCTCAGCCTTGATGAGAGGCCGGCCGTCTTCTTTTTAAAATGTATACACACCGTATACATCTGAAACACCCAGTGCAATACTGAGAAACCAACCGACAAGACATTCTACCTGTCTTGGTATCTTGCTCTGAAAACATGACAAAACAAAATGAGATAATTTGAAAGCAGCAGTTAAATTATTTTCTAGTTTTATGAGATTTTAGTGTCGAAACTAACCGGAAATGCCCAAGTTTTCTCTTATTTCGCTATGATTGGTCCAAAGAACTCGAGTCAGTTTCTCAACCAATCAGATCCAAAATGAAAACCAATAGCGATTTTGTCACTAACCGGTTCCCGCGCTTCAAGCAGTTTGCTTGTTTTTACATGAAGTTCTTATTGGCTCCTTTTGCAGCTCTCCTTTCTTCTGATTGGCTATTGTGATTAATTCAGTTCTGGTTCAACGGTAGTCAATCTAAATGCGCTCCATATGGTTCTAATAAATACATATGGGAAGTTCAGTCTTCTATGAGGTTTTTGTTATAGCTAGTATTTTAGGATTGTTCTTTACACCTTCTGCGTTGTCATCTACAATGTAATTTCCTCCTCGACTCCGGCTACTTACCAACGGGTTTTTTTCCCTGATTCTTTTTTTCAATATGAATCAGGTAGCCTTGGGCAATGCCCACGAGGTAAGGTGCGATCCGGCAATATGGCTTTACATAAACAAGGTCAGTATAGCTACCTCTGCCTGGCTCCTTTTTAAACCTAATAAGAATACCATAACAAATTTGTTAAACTATTTGCAACGTGACTGGAGAAGTCGAACAGAAATTACAGTCACGCTGTCACGAAAGAGATGAGCTCTTTTGATAATCAGGGACGTAACACGAAGGTGTGTGCGTGAAAGTGTGGGTAACCGCAACAGTTGTATTTCTGCCTCATCACAGACAGTGAGCGAGTAAGTGAGGGCAAGATATCCGGGTATTCTGCTGCCACACGAGAATAAAGTACTTTTCATCATCAGGAAAGTAACAATTGATTATTCAAATTGTTAGTTTCAATGAACTGGTGGGGTGAGGTTCCGGCATGAACCATTTAAGCCATTCAGTCATCCATTCGATTTTTTTCTTCTGTTCATCACTTTCCTTAATTCATTGAACATTTTTGTCCCACGAACTTCATGAATATTTTCCTGACTTCTTTCTGTTATCCGGCCTTTTCTTCTGTCAAACACATCGGGGTTCTGATCAAAATGCAACGAACGCAGTTTACACGAAAGCCTGAAACCTTTCGTGTTCGTTACATGCCAGGTAGGCCAAGCAAGTCGAGTGGATAATTCTTTTGATTGTCTTTCGTAATTGAACTTTTGAGCAAAGGCTAGCACATCATATACATATCATAATTCTTGTAAGCAATAAAAACTCATGCAGATATTAAAAAACATGTTTTTGGTCCTCCAAGTCTTTCTTCAACATTTTCCTTATCAGGCAAATGGTATTTGATCTATTGAGCTTTTTGTTTGCATAAAGTTACTAGGTCTCTGCCGAGCCTTTTTTTACAAGACACCTTGGCAACACCATTTTTCCCCATCTCTCAGCAATCTTTTTGAATGATTAGAAACTACCAAAGAGCCACTACTGATGTGTACAGTAAGTCTTTGTCTTTGAGAAAAGGTCCCCATTGTTTGGGTTTGATATCTAACATTGTGTTTAGTCAACTGGCAAATTAAGGCCAAGTTGTTTTCAAAATGGTAGAACCCATATTTGAAAATTAATGTTGGAAGATTTTTTAAAGTTTATATGTTTGTCCCTCATTGGAAATTGAAGCCGGGGTAAGTAAGAAGTATGTGTATACAAAAATTTTTAAAAGCAACGATAAATTTTTCCTTGATTAGCTGTCCCTGGGTTCCAATTACCGATTCAAAACGATTGCTGTAGATGAGGATACAGTAGCTATCACAATTAAAATCCACACTCAATAGATTAAGTTTGTTATCTTTATCTAAAAACGATAGCGAGAATTTTTTTTCTGCATCTCCTCATGTTAAAGCCCACATAAGATACACGAGGAATCACAACTCACTCGTGAAAATTTTGTTCAGCGTCAATAGCTCAGGAAAAGGCTCATTAACTTGTATTTCTATGGTTAAGTTTATCAAGGTTAAAAAAAGTTGTCCATAAAGGATGATTTTACTCTCTGGTGGAATTGAAAGTGAGGGATTTTTCTGCAGTTTTAAGCCATGAGAGCAACAGTCAAAAGTAAAGTTGTCTGTGTATGATAGCCTTTAGTTCGTGAGTTAAAATTTTTTCCAACATATTCCACAAGTGTATGAAGACCCAAAGTAATGATGTAAAACTAACCTTTGGTAATGATGCCAACACCCAAGGCAATATCCTCCTCAGTACAGGCAGACGGAACACAAAGGCCCCAGGAGACATACTATTAAACCAGAAACAGAACATCATCACATACAGCAGCCACTCAACACAATATAAAGTTCTTCACATAGATACTACAGACTTCACTGGACAAGGAATTGAGATTGAATTTCATGTGGAGGTGGAATTTAACGACTTAATTTTCTCCTGGAGATTCTGCACTTTTTTCACATTGGCATCCTTAAGATTATTTTGTTGTTTATTACATTGATACTCCTAAGTCCTCCTTAGGTAGAGAAGACAGGGGCCATTGAAGACGGGGGGCACTATTGGAAGGCAAGAATATCCTATAACTGTTTTTCAGATGGGGTAATGATAAGTACTGAGAAAATGAGAAAACTCAAACTGAAATAAAAGCTTTATCTTTGAGCCAACACCAAATTCTTGAAACTAATTTACAAGTAAATGTATAGAGGGGAGAATTGACAGTCAAATCTTGGGAATTTAACCCTTTAGCTCCCATGAGTAACCAAGCCAGAATTTCTCCTTATAATATAATGTCAAGCATACAAGAGATAAGAAAGTAGATAGTTATCACTAAGGGTACTTTCAGTTTATCTAATACCAAATTCTCTAAACTACAAGGAACATCATTAGAATTGCATGGTAGATAGTAAGGAAATAACGAATGAGATCCTGGGGGTGAAAGGGTTGTGGGTTAATCAGAACCCATAACACCATCAGAACAGACTTTCTCTTTATTACTTGTAAACCTACCATATATAACAAGAGGTTGCTAAGAGAAATGATATTTGTCCTTATCTATCGCACAAACAAGTCGTTTGTATACTGGTATTTTTGTAATATTTCCTCCAGAATTTACTGTGAAAGTGACACCTGGGGCTAGGAAGTAGTGTGCTTCAGGTGTAGTCTTGCATCTTGCATAAGACCCAAGCCATACCAGGTTACCTAGAGTAAGACCACTGCTTGGTCTCCCTGTTGCATCAATATCTGACAATGAAGAACACATATCAGGCACTGTATCAGGGAAATGCGCACACCGTGGTTGGTCAGAACGAGTTCATTAAATTTCCATAAAGTACCCGCCTTACATCACACGAGTGCACTATTGAAGATAATGCTCGCAGCCAACGTCATCGGTACGAGCGCGTCTAATTCACCAGACATTTTATAAAAGAAATAAAAAAACTTGTTCCTCGAGCATTGTTGAGTTATGTAAGCACTTGGGAATTTCAAAGAACACTTGAGAAGTGCGAGAAGCACTCGCCTTAGGCTCGTGCTTCTCCGCACTTCTCTCTTGTTCTTAAAAATTCCCACGTGCTTATATAACTCAACAATGCATTCGGCGTGTTTTTTATTTCTTTATTATAATTCACCCATTAATCTTTGCATATTACTACTGGCTATTTTGCATCGCGTGGTGTATATACAAGGTAATAACCCCCACTTATATAAATGTTTCTCCTTCTATTATTTCTGTTGAAAAGAGAAAAATCGAGCAAAAAAAATATTAGTGTAAAAAGTCACCTTTCTATCTACCAGCCACCTGAAGGGGTTTACGACTGATTTTAAGAATTGATGTTTGTATTGCCTAGTTTCTTGGAAGCACTAACTTGTCAAAAAAATATGATCGGGTACTGACTCCAGACTATGGGCTTAATAGCCCTGCCACTGCAAGGAAAGGCCAAAAGGGAATTTCTTCTTGTAGTTGCATTAATTGTCGAGCAGAAAGACAACGAGAAGAAAGTAAACTATTAACTAGGAGGAAAGTGTTCGATTTGATACCACATTCTCTGAGTTGGAATTACAATTGGTGGGGAGAGTTTGATATTATAAATTGGGATTAAACTGGACAAATCATGATCGTATGCCAGCACCAAGGTCACTGTGCTGTGTTTTTGTTTTAGCTAAATATCGATTTAGACTAAAAAGACTCGATTTTTTCGCTGGAAGCTTCGAAAAGTCTTCAAAGAGTCTAAACTGTGTCGGGAAAACGTTACAAAGCTCAATCAACTCTGTAATACGATACCAAAGAGTTTACCAAACTATGTCACGTTTGTGCTTTCCACAAGAATGAAACCACTTGTTAACAATATGGACGACAATAAAGTAAAACGTGACCTTTGAACCAAGGTGGTACTTATCGTAGATTACCACGTTTGCTACATTTCTTCTAGTTGACAAAAATTACCATAGGACTTGCAGGACTAAGGTTGTTTTTCCGTTTAAGAAAGTTTATGGAACTTGTTTCTATGAATGTAGGGGGGTTTTGAACGAAGTTGAATGCTTTAGTTGACCCTTCATGTTTTGAATAGTGCCAAGTGTTATGAAAATCGGTGTCATTAGCCATTGCCTGTGGAAATTGGACCGACGTAAAGAAATCTCTTTGTTGAAGTTATTTTTTTAACACTCATAAACTCAAAGTAAGACGACGACTGTAACTGAAACTGATCTTTTTAGAGTAAATGGCAAGTGAGAAGAGCATCGCTACGACATCCGATGTTAAAGTTATGATAAAGCCGGATAAGATCAACTGCTGAAATATCACAAACTACATCAAATTTTATCATATCATTTCGATGTCTTCATTTTTCATTCGGGCACACTTGCCTTTCTCTAACCGTACAACTTTTTGTGTTGTGTTGTTTTGCCTTTTGTTTCACCTTTTATTTGTCTTTGTTTTTTTGTCTCTTGTTTGAGAAACATTGAAAGAAATTTGACTTTGTTAGAAATTTGTCACATGCTAGGAAACTCGTCAGATGTGATAATATGGGAAACAAAGAGTACACTTACATTTGCCTCGCTGTTAACATGTGGCTTCGTTTCCATGTTGGTAGTAACACTCGATAAATGTCTCGGAGGCACCGGTTTAAACCGTATAAAAGTATTCATTTACTCAGGATTTTTATTCTACAATCATTCATTTGCATATAAAAAATGATTCATTTCGTTTGTTTGTAAAACCTTCCTTTAACAATCTCTTACTGGTAGAAAGAGCAACCTTGGATATCAGCTTTGTAATGAAGAGGAGTTTTGGATTCTAGTAACATAGACATGTTGTCAAACGGATATATTTGGAAAGTAAGAGACTTTTCTAGTAAGATATTAGATTACTTTTATTACTAAGGTAAATTGTAATTGAGTGTATATACGGTTATGAATACGCCCTCTGAAACCGTTCACAACTATTAAGACTGACAAAAGTATTTTTCCATAAATCATATCCACATTAGGGCAAAAAATTAAATCAAGATAAACATTTTTTGATATTCATCCAGTAGTCTAAAATGTGGGTTTACTAAATGCTTGCGAGTCATTTTTTCAGTTGAACAACGAGTTTTTGGTTGTGTACTTTTCAAAACAGGGCGGTTTTTAATGGAGTGTCGAAAGTAATCAGGTATTGCTTTGGATTTGCCTCACTCTGCTCTATGATTGGTTCCAAAGAACTCGCACCACTCTCTCAACCAATCAGATGCAAAACTAAAGCCAATCACGACTTGGTCATCCGCGTTTTCCCGCACTTTGGGCAGTTTGCTTGGTTTTACTTCTAGTTCTCTTTGGTTTTTAAAGGTATTTTCTAATCCTCTGATTGGTTGTTGTGATAACTTTGGTTTTCGGCTTACGACACTCAATCGATAAATGCTCCATGATCCAGTAATCATCCACTGCAATAAACTTGCATCGTTCAGATAGCAACAAACTAAAATTGACCATCTTTTTAGAGAGGAAACTTGCACATTCAGAAACTGGCTACCTAACTAATTCTCCTCTAACTATAAAGAAAAACGGTACCTATTACTTTCGCGTGGCGTTTTTTACTTCGACTGTTATTCGATAAATGATTAGAATCCTCAGAGGATTTTTTTTGTTTTTGTTTTTAAAAATTTTTTAAAACACTAACAGGCTAAAACATATCCTTGCTGCTTATTTTTTCAGTTTCAGTCAGGCACCACCGCATCCCTATCAGAGAAAAAAAATATAACACTGTTAACAATTAAAGCTTTGATATATCTCCACGAATGCAGTTCTGGGACTTCTAAGTCTTCCGTGTAATAGACTAAAAAATAACCAGGTGAGTATCGGAATTAACTCGGGTTTACCTCGGTTGCGCCCCTTTCCTAACATACCAAATTCTCACGTCTCGGGCAGTTCGCCTGTTTACTTTGAGTTGTCCTGGGTTGCCTGTGATATTTTCCTTTGCTCTGATTGGCTATTGTATTACTTAGTTCGCTTTTGTTTTACGACTCTCGATCGAAATGCGCACTATCGTTACGAGTAAAATTACCTATTCTCATCAATTTAAGTGTTCTTCGCTGAGGAGTTGGTAACCGGATGATTTACTGAAGCGAAAGAAGGAAATCAGGTAAAAAACAAATTGTTATTTGGTAACGGTGGTGGTAACGGTATCCAACGGATGAATCGCTATCCAATGGATAAGTGACGACAAAATGTACCGCACCATCCACCAGAAAGAGATTTACCTTGCGTTTAGCGTTATCTACTCCTCGGACAACTGGAAAACCATACTGGCTCGAAATTATCCATCAAGACAAAATAGAAGTCAAATTTAGTAGCAAAAAGCATGAGTTACCACATTTTAACGTGATCTGAGATTCATCAATAAACAGATTTCCGGTAACTTGGAGTCTACTTATTTAATGAAATAGAAGTAGTGGACGTCATTCAACGAGTGAAACATTTGACAATAATTAAACTGATGAACTCATGACCCTCTGAATGAATGAAAATTGGAATAAGAGAATAATGGTAGTTGTAAGAATGATAAACATTTACTAGAAATATAATATAAAGCTATGAACATCAAAGAAAATAAAACTAATGGTAAAAATAATTTCGTTAAAATTTGACTATTCAAAATTATTTAGAATTAATTTACATGAGTGATTGCATAGGAATTTGATTAATTATATTTGATTTAAGAAGTCAACGCTTAGAATTTTAAGCATTAGCCTGCTCCATCGTTTATTTGCTCTTACAATAAACATCTGACCACATTTAAGACTTTTCTTATATTGAGAGAAATCAGTGGATTTATTATGTCTGTCAACTTTCTGATGAGTGAATAATTCACCATTATTAATACGTTAAAGCGTGATGAAGATCAACATGAAAAGAAATACTCATAGGTCGCTCTTTACGTTATGCAAACTCTGTAGAAAATCTACCATTAGTCAACAACTGAGCCAGGGATTGTTAAGAAAACTGACGCGTTGCACGTTTTTGTGGTTGGTGTACGTATTGTAAAAACGTTGACTCCTAAACAGCATGGTCCGTGAACGTTGATACCCAACGGCTTCATGAGAAATGTTACATAGTTTCCATGATTCATGGCAAACGTCTGTGCATAATAATTGTTTTCTGTCAGGAAAGTGTGTGTGGCTTCTATCATATACCACGTGCGAAACAATGTCGTTCATGTTTTTATGTACCCATAAAGCTTTTGGGTCTCATCGTTGATTGTCTTTAAGTGTCAACGGTTATGCAATCGAGTGTATAGCAGGAAGGACCAGAGAAAACATTTCTACTAGAATGCCACAATTCTCAGTTTTTTAAATTAGATATTTACCGATCATCGTATATTTTGTTCACTGCATAGTTTAATTCATTGGTTCCCCTGCAAAGCAGAAAAAAGGGTGGATAGCGTACGTGAATAACCGAGATGACGTCTCTATAAAAAGCAGGTTTACAACTGACAGAATACCAAATCAATCAGCAGCAGTATTCGTTTGAGGAGTAAAACATGATGACTAAAAAATCATGACTTGCATATTAAATATTATGCAGTTAGTGATCTGGGTGGGTATCATAAGATGACTTGATCAATACATTTTTGTGAAGACCAATGTCCTAAAAAGATCTGAAATACAACAATTAAATTAATGGTCGGTGGGTCAGTGCACTAAAATGTATTTGGCTTAGGCGTTTGTCTTTACAAAGAAAGAAACAAAAAAAAACGAAATGTGATTTGTACTCACGTCTGAAATGCAACCGTGTTTATGTCCACATTCTTTTGACCTCTCCTATTTAAAAACAAGTTTAATGGTTCACATCAAAGGAGAAGAACAAAAGGAAGGGTTTCATCTTCATGATATGTTAATATCATTCGAATATCTAAGTGTATCTTATTAAATTAACCCGGCCCAATTTTTTTGGTACCATGATATATAATTTTTACATTCGTTAGACATGGTATGTCTTCCCGTCAAGTAGTTTTTTTTTCCTCACCTTTTCCAGTAAAAGAATACACCCAGTGCTACGACAGCGATTAAAATGATTACCAAGGGTAACACCACAGCAAGTGCATTAACGCCTATCAAAGGATGGAAAGCATCCGTCAGTAAAACTACCAAGTGGAGTGAATTGGTTTTCCTCATATCTCAGAAAGAAAGAGCAACTAGGAAAGATTTTTTCGTCCTGTCACGAAAATGAGATAGGGAGGTATTATCAGGCCTCTTCACCCTACTTGATTTTTAGCCCACCTTGATCATCTTGAAAAACGCTACACACAGTATATTCGTGTTTCTCGAAAGCATTTAATTTGTCTGCACTGAGGTGTATTTTTCTTCGGGACTGATTTGGATCAACCTTTCTGCTGACCAAAATTCTGAAACTATGGGCTATAAAGGCGACAAAAAAATCAAAAAGTTCATTACAACAAAATAGTGGTAGGGAGATGACCTTAGATGAAAAAGGAAACAAATACTAAGCTATTGAGTGACATCAGAAACCTAGGCAAGCTCTTGGGCCAGTGTTTTGA